TAGGTAGACTTTTACATTACCTGAAAGGGCAGGGAAATTAATTGAATCTAGAACTTTTATGTGTGGAAAAGACTTTCAGGTGCCAGCTAGTCCATCCTCTCAGTTTGAAGCAGGATCAGATACTGAGATTGGTTTTGAGGGATTTGGGATTAAGCTGGTATTTGATTAACCTTGTGTTAAAACCTTGCAATGGTAGGTATTCCGCATGTCCTCAGCACCCTCTTTTCATGGTTAGCTGGAAAGCTTCTTCAATATCCATCTGAACCTTCCTATAAATGATATCCACAAAGCCCTGTCTAGTTTCTTGTTATACTGGTTAGTACTTGGAGGACATGAGGAGTAATTCATTAATCACTCTTTATATATTTTACGTAGAGATTTGTACACAGGCTTTGTGTACAAAGCAAGTTTTCTTCACCAGAGAATAAGAACTAAAAATCCTATTTGCCCTATATTTAACAGGCTATGCTTTTTTAGATCATCAACGATGTGTAGGTTTAAGACACAGGTGTAGTGCCACAGGTGGGAAATCTGAGTAAGCTGATGAAGCTGAAACTCCTCAGATCTCTCCTGAGTGCCTGGCAGGGCAAGAAAGTGTGGCCAAGGCCAGCTCCTTAGGCTACGTAGCTGCTACTAGAGCCTGGTACAGGCAGCTCAAGTACTGCAAATTTTGGGTATCTGCAATGGCTTTTCCCCAGAAGCCACATGAGTTTTAAGGAAGAAATGTTCCCAGTGAGGGGCATCATGAGAACGACTGGGAATGCAATGCAATCTCGTGTGGCGTTCCCTGGTCATCCCAGTCCAGGAAACATCATTCTGATAAAGTTCACATTTGCCCCTAACTTCAGACTAGGGATTTTATCGAAGGCTACAGTTCTCTTCAGGTCTCTTAACAATTGGCTTCAGTTTCATCTCTGTTGGCCCTTGGTCCGAATAATCTTCGATGCTCTCTATCCTTATGATCACTTCGTCTGCTTCCACCCGCTTCTAACTTCTCTCCTACATATCAGTACTTCTCAGAGCCTTTTCATTTTCTTTCCCTCTCCTTGCTATTAACCTCATCAAATGCTCTTGTTTCTGTGGTAGAATTGGGAATTGAAAGCATCAGTGCTTTTGGCTGAGATATGGCAAGAAAACAGTTTCCCGCTTTCAAAGAACTCTGCTTCTGCCCTTGTTAGTAAAAGTTGCAGGGTTTCATAAAGCAAGGTCAATAGATGAGCAAAATATAAAAGGTCTAAAAGTGTCAAATTCGTACCTCCAAGGGAATATAGATCCAAGTACTTCTCCTAATTCCATGTGTCGGATCTGCATGTGGCCTTTGAATTTCTGCAATGCACGCAGCAGCAATGCAGGAATCTCAAGGTTTGTGAATGCTGAGCAGCAAGGTGGGAGAAGTGTACTCCCAGCCAGCTTCTTCCCTCTTTTTGAAGCACAACACAGCGTGGAGTCTTTCTGAATGTGACCTGTAGTGTTTGGCTGGGTGATGCTATAGCTCTGAACTTTGTTTGTTTTCAAGTGATTATTTATCATAGTTTTGTAAGGCTTTTCTTTTAATTTTTTTCACCTTTTACTCCTGACAATTAATTTCTCAGAGAGTGATGCCAAATTGTTCCAGTTGTAAGCTATTAATAGAGAGTAGATTACCAGCAGTTTTTGAATATGAGAAGTACATATTTATTCAGTATAACAAGGTACCTTCTTAAGACCCTGTTTCATTGGTTTGGTTTGGGTGGGTTTTTGGTTTTTTTTGGGGGGGGTGTGTGTTTTGTTTTAAGAGAGGAAAAGAATACGTTAAAAGAGAATCTTCTCATAATTCATCAAGGCTGTGGTGTGTACAGTGATCACAATAGAGAATTTCAACTTCTCACATTTGTGGTGACAGGAAAATTTTGTCTTTTTTGTGGCTTGATAGCTTTAGGAGATTGCAGTGAATCTGTTAAAATGCCTGTCAGATCACCAACATAAATTGCAACAGGTGGTTTTACACCAGGGAGGCCTTGCTAACAGCGAGGCTTCCATCAAAATCCTACCATTAGCACAAGACCCTTTCTCCTGGCGGTTCCTAGCCTTGGAGAGCAGCACAGACACCAGCACAGTCTGAGCACCGCGGAATTGTTTTAAACTGCTACGGCTCCCAAATTCTGTGTCGTTTTTCCCTCTTGATTCTACTGCAGTGTAAGACTTTGCAAGCAGGGCTCTGTGACATGGCAGACTGAGATAGGTTTGTCTGGAGGGATTGGAGTATCTGAGGGGAAGAGCTTTTTGTTTCTTTTTTTGATTTATAGATCCTCCTTGCTTTCTGCAAAATTCAAAGAAATGGAAAATGGGGTGATGAAATTCTTGTCTGTTATCCCAGTGTGAATCCAAGGATAGTTCACTTGCCTTCAGGTAAAACAGAGGAAATGGGAGCAGCTTTTAGTTAAAAATATGTAAGCAAGACTAAAACTTGTGCAGAAGGAGATCCTACAGGTGCTGGGATAATTTTTATGCAAGAGACTCTGGTGACTATAGAGTTTGGACTCGTCTCAGTGAGAGGATAGTCAGGTACAAATTCACAGAATCACAACTTTATTCTTTTAAAATCCCACCTCAGGCTCCTAATGCCTTTGTCGATGTACAGGGTGTGCGGGTGCTGGCAGCGGGGGCTGGAGGGGCTCTGTGAGGAGAGGTGGGGCTGCCCCACCCTGGACAGAGCCGGTTCTGGCCGGTTCCAGGTGGTTCCGGGCGGTTCCGCAGCTGCCTCAGCACAGGGCACAGCTGAGCTCGTCAGCGAGGCTGGTGGTTCCTCTGTGGAAGCTCGTTTAAGAAAGGGGCAAAACTCTGCCTGGGGGTGAGGGGAAAAAAGTGTGAGAGAGTAGTGTGAACCCCAGGGGTGGAGGAGGAGGAGGAGGAAGAGGAAGAAGAAGAAGAAGGGCCGCAGGTGCCACAGCAGCAATTCCCTGCAGCCCCCGGAGGACCCCACACAGAGCAGGTGGGTTTGTCCTGAAGGAACCTGGAGAGGACTCACGCTGGAGCAGGGGAAAGTGTGAGAGGAGGGAACCTCCGAGAGCAGCCATTAGGTCCTGACCATAACCCCCTGTTCCCAACCCCTGTGCCGCTCGGGGAGAGGAGGCAGAGGGGTTGGGAAGGAAGGTGTGAAGCTGAGCCGGGGGAAAAGCGGGAGGGAGGGAAGGTGTGGTTTTCATTTTGTCTTTTTCTCACCATCCAAATCTATTTTAATTGGCAATTAATTAAATTAATTTTCCCCCAGTCAAATCTGCTTTGCTGTGACGGTAATCGGTAAGCGATCTCCCTGTCTTTATCTTGACCCACGAGCTTTTTTGTCCGATTTTCTCCCCCAGTAGTGTTGAGGTGGCAGAGTGAGAGAGTGGCTGGGTGGGTGTCAGGATGCAGCCCAAAGTCAACCTACTGCTGTTAATGCGGCAAATAGTGTCCCATGTCTCATAGTCTTTGCTTTATTCTGAAGTTTGGGCATTTGATAATTTTGCATTTGGTTAATTAATTTAAACTTTCTCATCAATATTGGTCGTAAAATGAAGTTGTATTCTAATTCTGGAACAAGCAACAGTTCTTTTTCCCTGTGGTGGTTTTACTTTGGGATACAATCCCAGTGAATGCCCAGAGAGGAAGGATCTCCACAAGGTCCTCTGGCAGCGCTGTCTTCAAGTTGGTACGTCTGGAAAGAGATGCAAAATTTGATGAAGAGGATTTCTGTGTAACTTCCCAGGACTGTTTTGTCACCATCCACTATGAGATTGTCTGTGCTTTAAGACCAGATACAGAGATTACATAGTCAGGAAAAGCTTAGGTATTGGCCAGGTTGTGAGAGAACTTGGGATTTTTTTTTTTTTTTCTTTTAAAAAAATGACCCAATAAAAGAAGTCTATAGTGTGAATTTAAACAATTATGCAAAGTGCTTTATTTTCAGTAAAACTCCATTCTTTGATCTTCTGTGATCTGTATCCCTGTCTATTAATTTCTGAAAGCATAATGCAGTTTTTAAAGATCCAGTAGAACTGAAATATAAAATCAAAATAGCAAGAGCATACAGATAAGTGAAAAGTCTACAGCAGCTCAAGGAACAGGTAGGGAATATAGAACAGATTGTCTGCAAAAAAAACCCCTTCACATGCAAATATATTGTTCAGAGATGTCAAAACCTGAAAAGTTTACTTAGCAATTACAAGTTTGTGGTGAAGACCTCTTAATCATATAGCTGGTAGTTACATCACTAGTGTTTTTTTCCAGTATTTGTGCAAAGTGTATCTACTGGACTCAGAGAAGGAACTTGAGGCAAAGTCTCAAACCTTTGTACTTTAGAGACAGTTTTCTATTTGTCAGCCTTCCTAAATATTTTAAATCTTTCAAGTAAAGTGAAACAGGATTATTAACAGCTACTGTTTAATTAAAAGTTCTCATAATCCTTAGCTATACTGATAGTGCAGCTTGTGCGCTATATCACGATCCTGGTAGGTAGTAAGAAAAATGTTATAGTTTGGTTTTTCTGTTATGTAACACTTTTGAAGTAGACTATGAGGTTGAATATTCTGTAAACAACGAATTCCAAGCATAAAGATTTACTGGATATCTGAAACCACTTTGTCAGCAGAAGAGCCTTTAGAGATCCCAGGTTACGATGAGGAAGATAGCAAAGTCTCTACTGCTACTGCCCCATTTGTAGAACTAGGTGTGTATTTTGCGCATTTGATTTGAGTGATCACAAAATGTTCGCGTCCAAAGTATTTTGTGTATCCCGTACTTCCCCAATTAGTATGGTCAAAATCTCTTCATCCTTCCGAAAGTGCATATTCCTAAGATTTGTCTATGAATTACAGTCACACAAATATAAAGTTTCTTTGAAAGTTTTTCCCCTTACATTGGGAGAGATTTCTTCCTGAGATCTATAGACAAGCCAATAACATAAAGATGTTTGAAGTCTTATCTTCCAAAGTGGATACTTATAATTGTGTTTTTTCTTTTTTCTTTTTTTGTCCCCCCAGTGGAATTTGATGACTGCAAGGGGAATAACAAATTGAACTTCGAAGTTTCTAACCCAGACTTTAAGGTGGAACGTGATGGGTCTTTAGTTGCACTAAAGAATATATCAGAAGCTGGCAGAGCCTTGTTTGTCCACGCGCGGTCTGAGCATGCTGAGGATATGGCAGAAATTTTGATTGTTGGAGCAAATGAAAAACATGGTGCATTAAAGGTAAGATAAATACAGAAGACTAGAACAAAGTGCCAAGAAGATGCTGCTAGATATTTACATGTGCCATGTAGGACTGTAAGCAGTTTTAATGTTAGCAGAGGTGAAAATCAGTCTTCAATTCAGATACTGCTGCAACTTTTTAGCACTTAGTTTAACTTAAAATACAATTTTTCCAGGTTTTGAAAGATGTATTACATCTTCAGGTGTAAATGCTGAACGTTCATAAAGAATAGATTCAAATGAAAGAACCCAAGTATCAAAATTGACTGGTTCTTCTGGTGTACATTATGCCAGATAACCACAGTTTGGCCATAACTGAAAATGGAAAATCGTAGTCTAAATGTGTAATTTGGAATTTACAGAACCTTCACATTCATTCCAAGCCTAAGTAGGTGAGAATGAATTCAATCCTGTGGAATTTAAATTTTCATATAGGTCTGCTTATCTGATACTGCTATGTGTTAAACTATATAAACATTTGCACACAAACAGCAACACATGTTTACACTCTGTCTCTATACACTAGTGATTTTTGTTCCACTCTGTCCACTGAAGTGGACACTGTTGTTTCTTTTCCACTTCTGAATTTCAGTGTAATACTAACCACATACTATGGGGGAAAATTGCTTCACAAATTGATTGTTTACTTCACACCCATAAAAGTAACAAAAGGAAATGTGAGATAGCCTTCATTTCTGTGTCATGGCATTTAGGAGAGAGGCAGGAAAGACAGTGGCTTACTAGGCAATTAAGCCTGGTACCTTTAAAGACCTATAATTTCAAGGAAGTATAAAGAAGTTTTGATAAAAATGACTCATCTATTGTCTTGTTTTGGTATTTAGACTTTGGGCTGCTAGCATTCTCATTATATTTCCAACAGTAGCTTAGTATAACTTAAGTCTTCCACTAAAAAAAAAAAAAAAAAAAAAAAATTAGCTTTAGGAGAAAGATTGAACAAACTTCTGAAAGTCCATGGCTGAGGAAAGGTTTTGATCTGCACTTTAAGCAGCACACGATGTGAATATAGATTGTCAGCAGGAGAGGAAGTACCAGAATGTGTAACTGCAGAGAGCTGATCTGAACACTTAAAAGGAATTTAATGTTATTTAAATATGCTGTTTCTTCACAAATTTAAATTTTAACAATGTCATACTCAAGAGAGTCTCTTACGTGGTGGAGATGTGGATTTAGGACCATGCACTGCCAAATTCAGAGTTGAAAAGCTACACTTGCAGGAGCTGGGCACTTGGATGTCCTGTGTCTCAAACTAGCAAGGCATGCTCCTTCTTGTGCATTCACAAGAATGTTCAAATGATTTTGTTTTCACTCCGGGTTTTGAAATCTTAGGAGCAGTTTCAAAATGGGGATTCTCATTCTCCAGTTCAAAGTTACTGAAACCACAGAGGAGTTTGAGACATCTCTGACAGGAGGTCTGGAGTTAAGCTTCAGGGGATTGGTTTATGTGTAAAGATCTCACTCTCTGAGAATCATATTCTGAAGTTTTATTCTGGTTTTCTTAGAGAAGCAGCCCTTCAATGTCTTTGAGGGGAGATATTCTATGGAAGTTACAATCTAGGGGATATCTTCTCTCATGAGTAGGAATTAACAGATGTGTATTTTCACAGACTATGGCGTAGCTTTGTTGGTGACCTTTTCTCTGTATGTCCTACTTGGGTTCTGGGTAGTCTCCCCTCAAAATGTTCCAGCAATATTAATTGATGCCTAATGTTGAAATCTATTACCAGACTATATTCAAAAGCCAAGTCCAATTTGGCCCCACTCCTGGATTCTGTTCCAATCTCTTCGTGTTGCTTCAGAGAGAGAAAACCAGTCCAAATCCGGCATATTCTGCCACTTGCCAGTCTTCCCATATAGGTGACTCCTCAAAGCAATATCACTGCATCGTCTCTACCTGCATTCATCACTTCTTTATGGATTTTGATACTCAGCTCATAACTAGAAGATTACCCTTTTAGTATGGTGATCCTTGGTGTCTGCAGTGCTATTGGGAGTTACATGATGCGTTAATGTGTCCTGGGAAATCCATCTAGTGAGGTTTATCCCCTTCTTCAAGGGAATATAAAGATCTTTGGGGCTGGCTGTCCTACTCTGGCCTCAGCCAGCACTCTGTAGCTGTTAAATCAATATTTTTTTACCAACCGTTTCAGCTATTGTTTGCCTATTTTAAACACAACGCAGACAGTCTTGTCTGTTTGTCATACTTGAGAAGGATATAAAGATTACAGCGTCCTATCTAAAGTGATTTTATGATAAATTTGAACTTAATCCTGTACTTTTGCAGTCTAAATGTGTCAGCGTGGAAACAGCAGAACTGCTCCATCTGTTTATGCAAGGAGTCTTGGCTAAGAAATGCTCAGATGGAGCCTTAGTAATTCAGCATAATTCTGTAGGGTTAAGATGAGCACATGCTAGAGCACTGCGAAGCATTCAGTACTTAGAGTACAGTACCTTGTTTAATTAGGGGATAAGTAGTTCTTAAGTATTTCCCCACTGCCAGCAACTGCCGTTTCTTTTCTGAAAGCATGTAACCTACATCTGTGAAATCCCATTGTTAACGTTTCTAATTGCAGATTCCCAACATGTTTGGAAATGACTGACAACAATGATCTCTAATGTGCTGACTGGCAGTCTGAGCCTAGGAAGAGATAGCATAATTCCTAAAACTTTCTGATTGCTACCAATCATTCTTTAGATGAATATTGAAAATATTTAGAGGTGCAATCTGGAGTGTGCAGAAAAGCTTTTGGTATTCTAGTGGTGGAGGGGTGTGGTTCTTTCCTGCCGAAGAGGTGGGAAGATTCCAGCTGGCCTCACTGATCAGTCCTGTGTGATTAACTGAAATTAACTTCATGGCCATAGCATAGTCAGTGGCTGTTAGAATACCACTTACTATTTAACTCTTCTTTTTGAGTCCGAAGGGCATGTTTTCATAATCTTCTGCCAGAAGCCTATTAGATCTGCAGAGCCTGCAGCTTTCTATCAAAGGGTGACCATGACTACAATATGAGAAGATAGATGGTTCCTCAACTTCATCAGCCAACTTGGCTGTTGCTCTCTGATCACAGAATCTTTTGCAGGGTCTGGTGACAGAAGAGCAGATACAGCATTGCTGCTTTTCCAGATGTCTGGATGTTTTTGCAAAATACCCTAAAACCCATGAATGTCTATACCTACAGAGATGCATACCTGCTATTGAGAGCAAAAATCTGTCCATCGGATTTAGTTAGATTGCTTTCTACAACCTGCTATTAGTGCCCCTTTCCACCTATGATTTTTGCTAGATATATTGGTTTCTGTCTGCCTTGACAGAGGGGAGTATTCTCAAAAAAGCTACTGTCGTTTTTGAGAGGCATGTGGAATATGGGTGCACAGAAGAGTTGCTATGGGCCTATGGAAGGTGTAACATTGCCGTGTGTCATCTTTTTAATAAGTTTTATGTGCATATGCACTTGTACCCTCAGGCAGTCAGAGCACTCAAGGAAAGAAATGAAGTTAATTTGCATTGACCATGGGGTAGTGCTGGTAAGGCACACACATCTGTGCTTGTGCTCTGCTTTGCCCAATGTTCATTTAATACCCTTTCACACAGTCAGGACTTGAGTGCTTGTTGCTATTAAAAAAAGACAAGGAAATGTTTTGATTTACCCGGGATTCCCACAATGAACTTTGGGTTCGTTCTGAATAATTCATAGAATTGCTAAGGTTCAGATCCCTGATGGAAAAATAAATCACTTGCAAGCCCTAGTTGGGAAAAAACTGACCGAGCGGATGAGTTGTCGTAATTCAAAAAAATAATTACTTTTTTAAATTCATGTCTTATCCAATTCTTGGTCCCTGCTTTGTTTTATGGAAATAGTAGGATAACTGAAAGTTGGAATTTTCGTCAGTTCTGAGCATTTGACCAGACATTAGTGGATTTATTTATTATTAAAGAGTGGTTTTGTGGAAGGCAGAAATTATAGCCAATCTTTTGTAGAGTCTCATAACAGACTGTAAGTTGCAAAAGGCAGCAAGCTGGGAATTGAACTGTGTCCTCCAAGCCTAAATAAAATGGTTGTCTGCTAGTCCTTCTCCCCCTCTGTAATCTAATGCTGGTTTTAATGAATATACTCTTAGTACACTGGGAGCTGAAAGAAACAATCTTTCTCTGCCTTTTTTTTTTTTTTTTTTTTTTTTTTTCAAAAATGCAGCTCCCCTCCTCCCAGCAAAGGGAGTTATTTAGAACTTTTACTTGTTAACAGCATCACAGACACGGGGCGGGAGGGAGTGAGATATCAAGAGTCTGGCACCAAAGCAGATAAGAGGGCAGGCAGATATTCAGAATTTCCAGGCTGGTGGTAACTTCACTGTATGGTGCTCAGCAGTCTTCTGTACAGAAGGATGAAATGATTAAATATAAAATTGTCAAACCCTCAGGACACTTTTCAGGCACTAGATGGAAAAGGAATAAGAGAAAGAAAAGAAGAGATAAGAGGGAGGAGCACACCCTGAGACAGCATGTTGTAGACAATGAAAGTTTAAAATAATTTCCAGCAGTAGCTCAGATTGAAGGAAATGAAGTTGCTCTAGTCCTGCTACTCTGTCCAGTCCCCTTTGTAACAGCTAGAGGGCTAGTCATATATGCTGCTTCTACTTTACCCTTTGTCAAACCATTGCTTTTCCCAATATCGGTACCCTGCTGTGTTTATTATAGCGGGGACAGGACAGGCAGCCGGGCCAAAAACTTCCCCAGCTGCCTTGCAGACTTGAATTCTGTTTCCTACTAAGTCACTGCCTGGACATATGTATTTGTGCAAGTTGCTTTACGCCTGTGCCTCTGTTTCCTAAAGTATCAAACAGAAATAATGAAACTAAGCTCCTTGGATTTAAATGTTAGCATTTCTTGTTTGTGTCTTACTCTCTACTTTATCCCTGCAAGATAGAGATTGCAAATTTTATTGATATGAGATAAAAAGTGCCTAGAGCCTTAAATCCTTTAT